GGGGGGTATAATTGAGAGCTGTTCAAAAGAGCATCATTCTGATTCTCGCCAGTTTTGTCATTTTTGTTAAACTGGTTACCATATCATTATTGTTTACATCCATGCATGAGTTCAAAATGTGCTTTATTCCTCCCCAGTCCTCCATTCGCTGGGCCTGACCCCATGAAGACATACAATCTCATCCTGAAAGGCATTGACGCTGTTGACATCCCGAGGAAGGTCACCAAAAACGCTGCTGGTCTGGTGAAAAAGCTCTGCAGGTTTGTATTGAAAATAATAATTATGAAGGAGCAACAACAATAAGCAAGAGGAAAAACAACTTCAGAAATTTATATTAATTCACCAAAATGTGCAAATCTGCAATGTTCTACTCAGCATGAAGAGCTTTGAAGCTAATAGTAAAGAATCAGATACACATGTCGTATGAATGTGGTAGCCAACTTATATAGTATGCGGTGCTTGTGTTTATTGTGTTTTTCTGCTCTGTTGATTAATTATTAATGCCATTGCACTTTTCTTTATTCCAGGGATAATCCAATGGAACGTCTTGGTTATGGACGAGGAGGCATTCGTGAGATACAGAGGCACATGTGGTTTGACAGCTTCAACTGGGACGGCCTTCGCAACCGCACTCTCAAACCTCCCATTGTCCCTTCTGTAAGTACTTTGTATGTTTGTCTCTGTTTGTATCATTTCCCTTCTTTCCAACTTTGTCTAAAGTCGACAGATGCTCAGGTCTGGGCTCATCTTGTTTCTTCTCTGCTTTTGTTTAATGTTTGCGTCTCACTCTGTTTCTCTTTTTTTTTTTCTCGTTCTGCTGCTTTCTTTTCCCCTCCCCTTGACTACATTTCAAAATTTCCCACTGGGACAATAAAGTGTCCTCTTATCTTGTCTCATCTCTTCATCTTTCTGTCTCTCTTTCTCTCACCTGCTTTTGGGTCTGGCTCTCTCTTTCTTTTTTTTTCTTCTTGAGTCCCTTCCTTTTTGTCTCTACTTTATTGGTTATGTTTATGTTAGTCCGCACTGGGAGGGTGTGGTTGGTTGGCAGGGGCTCTGGTGTGGTGTGCTCCTTTTTAGCTATCAAATATCTATTGTCCTTGTCTCTCCTTCTTTTTTCGTGCTTGTTATTCTTTTGTAACCCTTCTAACCTTCAGCCCTAACTGAAGTGCCAAAAAACACTTGATAAAACAAAAAATGTACTGGGACATTGGTTGGTTGACAATTTAAGGCAACTAAAAGAGATAAAGCCGATGGTATGAATTATTGAAACTAAAAAAAAAAAGAAGAATGAAAGAAAAAGAGTAAACTAAACGGTTAATGGTAAAGACTTTTACATTTCGCTACCTTACAATTACAAAGTTCTATCTGTTCTGTGGGTTTTTCACAATATGTCAAACTATTTTTAATGCTGTTCTTTGAAATATCTTGGTAACGACTCTAAAACAATCTTGAGATTTTGAAAGAGCAGATAAAACATTCGTTTTCTGACCTCATAGTCTTTGTATCTCAAAAGCGGCCAAAAATGTCAGATAAGACTTTGTAATTCTAAGGTAGCGATTTTAAAGGTTGGGTCTCAGTTATTGACAGTTTGGATAAGTTTCCACTTTCCTTTTTATTTCAGGTGAAAACAGCGTTCGACACGTCCAACTTTGACGACTACCCTGAAGACGATGATGAGCCACCACCCGACGACTTGACGGGATGGGACAAGGACTTCTGATCAGACTGACAAACTATAGCCCTCCGATCTTCAAACCGCTGATTATTATTAGTCAGATAAGACTTTAATATGGAAACTTATGTGATACTGTGTGCCTGTGACCAGTTGATCCTTTTGTGATACTGAAAGGATGTATGTTGACGTTTGTCAGAAAGGTGGACAAAGGAACCCCTTTGCAAGTATCTGATGTAAATTTCAACATTTTTATCTCTCATGCTTGTATTCTAGCAAAACAAATGTCTCTTTATATTTTGCTTGTTAGTAAGTTATATGTGTATGTCTTTGCCATTACTATAGGATATTATGTTTGTCACTTTTTTTTTTCCATCATGAGTACCAAAACCTCATTGCTCTTTCTGTTTTTATTATCATTATTTTTGTATGAAACCTAGTCATAGCAAATTATAGCAATCACATCATAAAAGCTATTATACTCAGGAAAATCTGATGGTTGCTTTGGGTCAATGCCCTTCGTGTTAATGTTACAATAATACTTCATTTTGATGGTAAAGAGAAAAGGAACGATCTTTTTGTAAAAGTGAATAGAAGTGCTTTTTCTAATAAATTAGACAATGCTTTACATCTCGATTACAATACATTTTAAATCATATGTGCCGTCATGATTTTAATCTCATCTTACTTTCTCGTTTAGCCTCTCTTGGTCCATGCTGGTTAATGTTGTTAAAGCAAAACTGTCTGGAAATAAAAACTGTATTAAGAGCTGGCACTAAAATCTAGTTCTCTACAAAACACTTCGATCCCTCCAACCAACATCTATTAACATTTTGAATAAATTACAGTTTACAGTAACTTGCTTCTGAAAAGTAAATAGCAGGACTTGATTTTAATACTTCTTCCAGTATGTACATAGGATTGATGTTTTTTTCCTCATTCCTTTCTGCCATGCATTGACTTTTGCATACCAGTTGTCCACATATACAATGGGCATGTCTTATGTAGCTGTTTCGCTCTGGTATCTCTAAGGATATCCTGGTTCATGGATGCAAGAAAAAGAAAATAAATAAGTTTTCTGCAGGTGGGGTGGGGGTGTCTGTATCCCTGTCTCTTCCCCTCCCCCCTCCCAATCTCTTTATCTCTTTCTCATTGTGCTGACAGTTTTTTTAAAAAGCGTTGTAATTTTTTACCTTGTCTCCAATTTCACTTTCCGAGTTGAGATTTTTCGTCTTTGTAAAAAGAGTTATAAACTGAACCGTAAAATAACCTTAATACATGTTTCGTGATTTAAGTTGCTAAGGGACTTCAAGAATTCTGTCATGGTCAAATGGCTTACCTTTGCAAAAGGTGGAATCCATGAGTGTGTGATTTGCATCATACAAAGAGCTCTCTGTATAGCTTTCATCTACTATTGTTAGATCTCATTTTGTTTTTTGTTTTCCATTAGGCTAACCCATGCAGGCAGCTTGCATGAAGTAAGCGAAACTTGTCATACTGTTGTATTATGACCATAAATGATGTAGATGATTATTTTGATATTTGACCTTATACAAAGTATTATTGTGATGTTGGATGTCCAACATTTCTAGATTCCTCCACTTAAATTGTTCACATATATGAAATACAATGTTTGTAAAACATCAGCCTGTCCTTTTTTTTTTTTTCAAAAGTTTTCCATGACAGCTGCCCACTGTTATAATAATGCTGTCAGGACAAATCAAATTTTTACAAGACATATATTACCCTTGTTCGTGGATAGCAATGTCTAACAGTTCAGCAAATAACAGACTTTCAATCATCTTGGTTGCATAATACTTGTCTGATGAAAGCAGTCTTTGATTGAATGTTAATTCGTACATGTCTCTGTTGATGGTATTATTCAACAACAGGAGAAGCAGAATGAAGTCTGCCTTTCCTACTTAGACTGTGTCAGGAGTTGGAGTTGGAGCTGAAGGGGTAAACTTCCCCTCTCCTATAGCGCATGCATGGATTGTTTGATAGTGTGGTGTGCACCTTCTACCAGTTATCAGTGTTACATTTGTCTTAATCTGTTCCCAGAAAAATGTGGCCTTTATCGCACTGACTCTCAGCAAATTTTGAGTCAGCTCAGCTTCTCCTTAGAAATGAAGAATAAGAGATAATTTTTTTCACTTCAGTTTAAATACCTCCTTTTTTTTTACTGCGTCTCTTTAAAGTATTAGTTACAAGAGCAGTATGATATAACGTATTGAAATAGAAATTGGCACTTTGCCTTGTTGTATCCTTTTTGTTATTTTTGCTCCCTATATTTTTAATGAACGGTGAAGGGGGAACCTTTTCCTACTCAATTTATTTTTAATGCCCACACAAATAGAGCGCTAATATGTTTTGACAGATGTTTACACACCCTGCCACTTAAAGGCTGATAGATACTTTAGAACCGCCTTTAGGTAAATGATATGGTTTTTCTTTTGACAAAGTATTTCTTTCTTCCTAAAAAGACCTGTGTGTTTGGAAGTCTTGACTAATCTTGATTTTAGTTCACAAAATGAAAGTCAAGGATGGTATGATAGTAATAATGTGTTAGTGGATTTGATTATTCAGTAGGCCTAATTCAAGTGTGGGTTTATTATAATGATTGCATAAGTTAGTTTGTTAAATGTTTTATTGTCTGTATATGGAAATCAGCAAACTGTCCATTTCTGTATTTAAGCCGAAACAATTCGTCAGACGTTGCCTTATGATGACTCATATAATATATGGATAGCACACGTACAATATTTATGTCTGTTTGTGCCTCTCTTTTATCATGATATGTTGTAAGTTGTGTGTAAGTGTGCACGTATTATTTGGATGAAGTTATGAGTCAGATGATATTGACAGAGCAAGATGTATCAGACAAAAGACATTAAATAAATCTGTCATACTTCTTCTTATTCTTCAAATCAATTCTAGTTCTCAACAATGAACATGGAAACAAAGTGCTCTACAAAATATTCTGTTGATATACAAAGTGTGAAATATTTTATCGTTAAAAAAATGAAGAAATTGATTCTTCTTTTTCTCAGAAACAAACATTTTTTTTGCACTCAAGGAATATGAAATTTCTTTTATAAGTTATAAAATCCTTTTGATTAACTCTGTCCAGCAGCAGATGTTTAAAATATTTTTTTATGGCTAACATCAAAATTTATTTTCTTTGAAAATGGAGAGGAAAAAGATCGATAAAAAGTTATTGAATTGTAAAGCAAGAACTCTGAGAAAGGTTTCCTAATATCAGTTTTAATCCTTAACTCTTTATCTCTGTCTAGCCGCTCCTAGCGGCTCGCGGCCGGTCAGAGGCACATTCCTTTTACGACGACTTCAACATCAAATTACTTTTCGGCAATTGCAGAAAACAGGTCTCTCGGGATTTTTTTCATTAGATGAAGAACTATCAAAATAGGTTCTCTTGTTTTGTTGTAATGACCAGTTTAATAACATTTTCGTCTTTTTTAGATTAAGTACCAAAAAAGCCCCCCCCCTGAGATAGAGAGTTAAAAGTAACGACTGAGCATTATTCATTGTACTAGAAATTGGCAGATTGCTTTCAAGATGAGTAGCAATGTGGATATTACTGACATATTCCTTTTGCTTATTCAGGACACATAAGTGGTATTTGTTATTTGCTTTGAGACTTTTTGTTTTTGTTAATTTGTTTTGTTCATTTTAAGTCTTGATGTTACTTTTGACTCTGCATATTTTAAAAGCTTGCAAATCACAAGATGAGAAGTCTATACTTTGTGTACAAATCAAAAGTTGAAGTGGAATATTGACAGTATGAAAATAATATAATCCTGCTGTTTGTGGGAGTATAAAATCATCAAATACGAAGAAACGAACGGTAGTGTGAAAGTATTCAAAAGAGGAGTACTGATAAGTTAACTGCCATGAATCAACCTTTACAGTCTCATATGTAGGGCCTATGGATTAATACAGGTTAAAATTATTTTGTGAAAAATGTAATGGAGCATGTTATATTAAAACTTCTCGGACAAATATGTCATAAATTTTGCCAAGAAGCACTAAGCTAGAATTTTTTTGTTTGTTTATGTGATACCTGGCCCATACCCACAATGAGCAATAGGTCTATCTGAACTCACTGGATGCCTGTTATTTCTGTTTGTGCATGTTTAAATATGTAGCAGAGCAAGAAATGAGTCCTTTAAACATTTATGAAATCTATATCTGGCAATAATCAATATAGTGTCAGAAATATTGATTTCGTATATTTTCCTTCTGAGGTATGGTTTTTGGCATTTAGAGAAAAGAAAAGGTTGAAATGTCGCTTATTTTGGATAGGTTATTAAAATTTAGTAGTAAAGTGCCATGCATAATTAATTTGCATTAGTGTTTTTCAACTAAATTTGTCACCAATTTCCTCCATACTGTATACTTCTCTAATTTATCATTTTCAAATTACTTTAATTTTCTGATACAGAGAAATAAATATTTTTCACTACCCGACACTTTGTAAGACTCACAAACCATGTCTTTTGTACTATCAACTATTTTCATTGTCAAAATCTCTCAGTCTTGTGATGTTGCTAAAAAGTAGAAGACGTTTTATATGTGGGAGAAAATGTGTGTAGACGTACGTATGTAGACAGTTCAATTGATGAGGATGAGTTAGACAGTGTGAGAGACATTAAAGATAATATGCAGACTGAAGAATGACTGGCTCAAACCAGACATGAAGTACAACTTGAAAAATAAACCAATGCTGACTGAACTGAAGTCTTGAGTTATTTTGCTTTCATCACTGGGTTGTTGTTGTTCTCATATAATTGCTGTTCTGAACGATAATGGTGTTTTTGTTACTAACTTTATCATTGTGCTTCTTCTCGTCCTTCATTACATATAAAAAATATGAAGTAAGCAATGCTGGAGGCACTGAGTTGAAACATACACGACTCTCTTCATCTTCTTCTCCTCCTCCTCCTCCTCCTTCTTTTTTTTCTTCTCCTCCTCCTCCTCCTCCTTCTTCTGTGTGTTCCTAATGTTAGATCTCAGTGAGTTGACTGCTGGTTCTGCAGCCTGCAGTGCAACTGATTTTTATGTATGTGACCATTTTCTCAACTTTTTAGGGCGCCTTGCCTTCAGGCAATCATATTTTGATTTCAAAGATACTCTACTTTTTCTATACTGACCAGAGTATTTTAAGTTTTGGTAGGAATTAATGATGAATTTTGCCGAACTAGCACATGGAGCGCACTCTTATCGATCACAGGACCACCAAAGTGATCTTTAACCTGCACAACTTGCATAGGGGACCTCTGAGAATTTTTTATTCATTCCTGTGATCATAATTGATTAAAAGTACAGTTTTTACAGTTTTACAAAGAGCCAAAAAGCTGCGTGTTGTAACCAAGAAAACATTTGCTTTAAAGATAGTAAGGACGTTACTATCAAAATTGTATTCTTAAAAATATTGACTTTGATGTTTGCTAACGATTTGTTTTCTTGGTAACAATAATCAGGTTTTTTTGCTCTCCTGTAAAAACAGTAAACTGCATACTGTATTTTAAAAATGATGGCAGATTTGAGAAAGCTAAGAGTTTGCTCTTACCTACCATAAGATCAGGAGTGCAGCTGAAAGACAGCGGTAACAAGGAGCCAGGAGTAGCAGAAGAAAGAATCAGGAGCAAGGAAGAGAGGAGTAGAGAGGGGGTCAGGGGAGAGAGGGCCAAGGGAGAGGGAAGGAAGTGCAGGTGAAGGCAAGAAAAATTTAGAGATGGAAACTTTTTTTTGTAGTCAGGTTTTAATCCTTCGACATTTTGACCAAGAGGTGAAAACAGTGACCTCTAGACAATGAGAGCCCCCATAAAGGACTTAAATAACTGGAGTGTTGCTGTTTGACCATCAGGTATTTTGGGGGTCTGGGGGTGAGTGCGCAGATAGCAGATCAGCCAAGTCTGTGCCCAAAGAGTTCTGTCACAAAACGGACAGGTGATGGTGTCAGAAGTTGGACATTTTTTACAGCGGTCGTTCTAGAAATCCGGTGTTGCTCTGCTGCAGCAATTTTGTTGCTTTCATACGTAGATTTTTTACACCCTTGCGGACAACTAATCACTATGCCACTCTGTCCTAGGTGATGTGCTCCTATGTATGGGATGGGATGAAAATATTCTGATGACATGTGCGATGCCGATGACTTTGTTTTAAGTGAGGAAGAGTTACATGTTGTTGACCTCACTCTCTCATCCAAGGCCAATAAGACTTGTATCCAGTGGCAAGATAAGGTGAAGACAGTTGGAGATGGGGACAGATGCAGTGGATGACTTAGATGTTCTATGTGCCTGACCTAGCTCTGTGTCCTCCACAGAGTAATGCTGTAATGGTTTTTCTTTCCATTGCACCAGGATCGTTTATTCCAAGAAGCCCAGTGGCACAAGACTTCAAACAGACCTTCAGAATCATGCCTGACTGTAATAATATGAGTGTCCTCGGTTAGAACTCATTTTATCAGGATTTCAGTGGCTCTCCACACACTCAGCTTTGTGTTATTTGAGATGAAAAGTAAATCAAAGCTCCCATCTTTTGAACAAATTTTCTGCTTTGGAAAGGACTTTAAAAATTATGACCATTCTGTCAGATCATCTTGTTCTGTCTCTATTTTCTAATGAAGCCCTGTGTTATTCCATAAAAAGCCTTTTGACAAGATTGTGCAAACAACATCCATTGCTCTATTAAGAGCATATCACAGAAGTTAAATATCAAAATTTGTTGTTTTGTTTTGTTTTAGTCAGGAAAAAAATATCAACACAAGAACAATCTTTTAGTGAGGGAAGAGAGCTAGACAGAGAGACCAAAAGAACAGGGAGAGTAAGATTTGGTTCTGCCAGTAGCACCCTCAAACCATACTCTAAAATATTTGAAGTGGTACAAAACATGCAAATTACTATTTAGCATCAAACACCAGCTTGCTTATGGACGGAAATCTATTGTAAATGAGTACAAAAACGTACAGAGCTGACATATTTTCATTCTTGTACCATCTCACTTGAAACCAACATCAACATTTACGTATTTACACAAACACTCTTACATCTCAAGAAACAAAAAAAGTCGTAACAGGGAAAACACTTTTTAAAAATGGCAAATATGGCCTATATAATAACGGCTTACAGCAAACCCCTCTTCAGTTTTTCTACCTAGTCCTTGATCTAGACTTCGATTTCCTAAACAAAAATACGCAACTGATATTGGCTACAACCTGACATATACAAATAAGATAACTATCATCACTTTTCGGAGCATTCCCTCAATACATACAAGCCATAATTGTACTGCTGTACGCTATATTTAACACATACAATTTTATACATCACTGAACCAATTGAATTATTTGACCCTGAAGCCTCTATAAAGATATTTAATACATTATCACAAACTCTTTGCAGTGACAACAGCTTGTTGCATTTTCATCGTTTTGATAGCATTCTCATTTTGCTATAATATGAAGTTTATGATCAAAACTGAATGGGCAGAGATGCCCCTTTTTTCAGAAGCAAGGAAGCTCCATCACAAACTAAAATTCTGTTAAGTATGGTATGTTGATCTGGGAAACCATTCCTAATGCACTATAAAATATCCTTAAGTTAATTTGGTTTTTATTCTTCGGTAGGGCCTGCCTCCCCACTTGTCTCCTCTTGTGTGGCTTCAGCACTTTCTTCTTGTTCTGTTTTCTCTGCCTCCTGCCACAGATAGAAACAACAAAAAATATTCAGCATATCATATTTAGGCTTTGAGTTTAGATAAGTAAAGGTTTGTGACAGAAGCCAAATAAAAGTCACCTCCTGGATTTAGCATTAGGATCCTTTACTGATTCATACAAGGCACTACAGGGGAGGTTCACTCCCCGTTGATGAAATACTTCTTACAAACAAACTATAGTGCGGTCAAAAATGCATGGCGCAACTTATTGTGAAATATTTCCTTACCTATCGAACATAGATTCTCCAACTTTAGCACAATGACTTATATCAATTTGTCTTAACAGGTGAATACTTTTTCAAACTACTGCACACTGTATTCTAGAAACTTCCTTCAAGAACAATAATTTAAAAATTCCAGTCGATGGTTTCTACAGATTTTTTAAAAGTTTACAACTCGGGCAATATATCACTTTTAAAAGCAAGTCTGTCATTTTTTTTCTAATCGTAGTATTATGCTAATTGAACGTATGTTTAGGGAACCTTTAGTGCAAAAAAAGGTGTTCATTATAAAAATATTTTTTGTAAGAAGTTTTGCTACTAAAAAAAATGTCATTGGCAAGCTGTGACGTAGGCCATTTGCAAAATGTGTGCGAGAAGCGGGAAGTGCTGTGAACAATCGCATTTTCGGTGTGATGGAGATTTTCAGTATTTCATACAAATTTATGAAGAAATGTTTTTTAATCGCGCCTCAATTGTTGTGGAAATATATGATTAAAGCTAAGACAAATTGATACCAACTGCTGTACAAAGTATGGGTGACTTTGATTCACCTGTAAAAGAGATATTTGAGGATAAGTTGCGCCACAAATTTTTTAATGCACTATACTAGAGAAATTCAAAGCTTGTAGCGTCACAAGAAAAAGCAAAGAATAGTATATTAAGCTCTTCAAAAGCACAACAATCGCATGTCAGATGCTTGGATACAGATATGGAGCAGCCTAGAGAGATTTTAAAGTTGGTGAGACATCATTTTTTGGGTAAAATGTAACATTGGGTACAGATATTTTGAGGGATTAGGTTGTAAAAATCTTCACCAGAAAATGAATCAAATTTTCAATTGATGGATGTTCATACTATGCAAAGTATCAAATTGGCATGTCTTATAAGAACATTAGCATGACTTCCTGGATGATATTCTGATTAATTTTTAAAGTATGTATTGACTTTATTTACAATAGTTGCACAACAAATTACCATTCGTTTTATCAACACTACACACTACGGTGCGTCTTAAATTTAACTTTGTCCACACCCTTCTTCAAGACTGACAGAGATATAATAATAATAATAATAATAAATAGCATTTGTATAGCGCATGTCCCCACTCGAAAGCAAGCTCTATGCGCTTTACACTATATCTTTTCAAGATTATGTTCTTTTTACACTGGTAGAGTGTACAGCAGTAGCTTCTTCAAAATCAAGATTGTGCGAGCGTGTCAAAGGCTCTCCACCTCATCCTACCCATTATGACTATTAATCATCAGGTCCAGCAACCTCAAATAATAAATAAGGAGTAGAGAGAGGCATGAAATCAAACCTCAACCACACTGAGCAAAGCCCTCACCTCTCCCTCTGTGGTTGTTGCCTCCCCTTCCTCAACTGTGGGCTCTGTGACAGACTCTTCAGGGGGCGTGCCGTCCGTTTGCCCCGCCTCCTGTTCTGCTTGTTCTGCTTGGGCTGCTTGTGCCTCACCATCTGACGGCTCTTCTTTCTCTTCAACTACTGGAAGTTTGGATGCTGAAGCAGCCTCCCTCTGACGCTTTTCTTCCTCAGCCTGAATGGGTTAAGAAACCACATATTCTCCTTTGTAAATCTCAACTTAATGGAAGTACTAAGAATATTTTCCTCACTTAACTCTTTCCATACAAAGAGTTTTGCGTTCCCTGGTACATCAAGATGATGAAAATTGAGCAGTACCAGATATGTCTCTATGGCATTGAAAAGGTTGCCCCTTTCCCAGCTCTTTTCGTATTAGAAGGTGAACAGCTTCACTACAATAATCCTGAGTAGCTTGAGAGAGAGCCAAAAGACCAAACAATGACTCATCTTCCCTGTCAAGTAACGTTCATATATCCAAACAATTGAGTATTTAATGAGATCACTTCAGGCGACATTTTCATGAACTTTTAAATGCAGTTTACACACACAAAAAAAACTTTTTTTTATGTCAAAGACATTTTAAAAAGACTTGGAGAACATTTTAGCTGTTGAACATATCAGCTGTTAAAATGTAGGCATACTTAGCCAAAAATGTTGAACATTTTTTAAATTTCAGTTTCTTAATCTGTAGTATCATGTGCTCAAGAAATATTTTGTCAAAATGTAAATTTTAAGTACTAAAAATGCAAGAAAAATACATAATGTAGGCACAACTGATAAAAGAATGGAACATTTTTTTCTGTCTTATAAAACTGTGTAGTACTAATGTCTCTATTTAACACATTTCAACAGCTTGCTGACAAATTTCCCTATAACCTGAACTATTCTGCTCCTCCCCAATAAAAAATGTCATACATCTTAACCCCCAAAATTCACCACAGAACAGAAGGTAACAACAAGGTAACAACACAAAAATCATATTACCTTTCTCCTCTCAGCCTCCTCCTCAGACAATTGCCTTGCTTCTTCTAGTCTCTTAGCTCTTCTCTCTTGCTCAAGAGCTTCTTCCTCCTTCTCTCTCTCTAACTGTTTGGCTTCTTCCTCTTTCTGTGGAAAGACACCAGTACATACTAATTAATTTAACAACAGCAAAAAATCATAATTATGAAAATGCTTCCGACAGCATGCTGCATAAAGGAAATTCATGAAAGTTTTGCTCTCAGACAACAATAAAGAAACCCTGTTAAAATGTTTTTAAAAAGGGTAATATCCCCCAAAAATTATTTTTTTAAAAGAATGAAATCGTCAGGATCACCATCATCATCATTATCACCGCCCTTCTCACCCTGCATCAATGTATAGGCCAAAAAAAAAAAACATTTCCACCTTTCCCTATGCGGAGCTTGCCTCTTGATAGGCCGTTATTCCATGTCTTCTCACTTTTCTGGTACTTCGATCGCTACCACTATTCACCATGCTCTGTGGCCTTACCCTTGATCACTTAACCTGAGGATTACAATCCAACACTTTACTTTGTTATGCAGTTGCCTGGCTTCTAGAGAGTATGTCCAATCTAAGTGTTTGGTATAGTATTATGTATGTTAATAGTCTAAAAATATATAACATTACGATGTAGACAACCTTGATTCTGATACTTACATTTGCGATAAGGCGTTCATTCTCAATGTGCTTTTTCAACCAGAATGCAATGTATTCAATGGGATCATGAGGACGCTTTTCTGCTACTTCTGACAAGCAGGCAGTTAAACATCCCAGGTTTTCCTTCAGGTATCTGGCTTCCATTCTGAAAAACAACGATCTGAACATGAAAGCAATATCTATGAAATTGTTTCTGTCCGATTAGAAAGGACCAATTACAAGTGCTAATTAAACCACATCAGCAAATTCTTTAAAATCCCAGTAGTATGTGGGAGAGAAAGTATAAGACTGGGGCTATAGCACTATTCAGTTTGCACAAACTAAGTACGATTATCTGGTGTCATCTTCTTCAATACACGAATCTGTTGTAATCACATAAGAAGTGATGGCATCCCTTTGAACACAGCATATCCGGTCTAGAACAAGATAAAGTTCTAGCTATAAAATATGAGTTCTACAAAATCCATTTCTTCTCTAAATAGGAGCTGTTGACACATCTAATTTTCTTTTCTATTGCATGTGAGATTTCTATATAATATATCTTACAGCACTTTAATTGTGGCGGTTAGCGGTATTCAAATTCTGCCCTCACCAATTATAATAATTAACATTAATGAGCACATGCTAAAGAAATTTATAGCCTAGTCCTACTAGAGAGGAAAAAATAGTTGTTCCCTCAAGGTATTATGGCATTCACTGAGGTCAGCTTCTTAACCCTCACTACTCTCATTGCACAAAGAATACATTGTTCTAAAATAAAAATACATCTTAACGTTGTGTACAAAGAAAGAAAACAGCTGGATATAATTTATTCGTTGCTAATTCTCAATTGAAAAATGAATCCTATAGGCCTGTGCTATCAATTAATCAATTAATGAGATTCAAACTCAAATTAGACTTCACATGGTGGACTGCCAATTTACTATAATAAAGTACCAAGCATGGTGAGCACTTTTTATCTATTATCTATTTGTGGTGGCCGAATTTTGCTATTCAAAAGGCTTTTTAATGGCTGCATCTATCGACATGCGGTTTTCGCCAAAAGATTCTTTAAAATATCATCCAGACCATGACGCCCTTCGTTTTTTCAGTTTTGAGACAGTTTTGTTGCAAAAAGCTAAATTTCTTTATTTCGTCGATCATTTTTGTAGGCCAACGCTTCTGTCTCTGTAATTTTAGAAAATCCGCCAGGTTTGTTTATTTCAAGTCGTACTTCCGTTCGATACTGTCGCGCGTTGTCGCGCAATACTGAGCACCATTTTAAGTGAGCGACCCGTATAGATCTAGACCTTTTAATTTTTTGCATCTCTCAAGATTTATTGCTCCATTCCAGCAGAGTGTAAATATAATTGGCCAGTGACTGTAGTTGATGTTAATGCTCCGATCATTCCTTTCATCGAAAGGCGGCCCAGCTAGTATAATTTAAAGGTCTCTAGCGATCACAACTTAATATATCTAAATTCCAGACCGAGGCTGTTGGGTGCGTCGAAGGCCTAAATATAGCAACCTATGTCGGTTCCTCTTGCCAATTCTTGCAACGGATACATGTTACCATGCTGGAAGTGTATATTTTCAAACAATTGGTAATTACCCAGAATTTAAAACATGGTTATGATCACCTTCATAGAGAATAATATCCCATAAATGTTAACCTCGTCTAACTATAATTTATAAAGTATTTATATTACTTTAACAACTATGCAGTGGCTATATACGTACACGGCAAACTGAAGGCAGTTTGCAGGCGCTGTTGAGGCTACGTCCACGGCACTCAAGCTTCGTTTAGACGGAGCGTCCACTGGTAAGCCGGTTTTAGTCAGTGACGACAGTGACGTATATTTAATACTTTGGCCTGCTATAAGTGTTCCATCCCATGAGATGAAGGTAAACGAAGCAGTGATCCTTGACCGATCGACCATTTGTCATTTTCCCTTAGACTGAGCTCTGGCTCAGAGCTCGCCAGAGCATGGGAAAATGACAAACTCTCAATTACGCAACAAAGCATGATTAGGATTATATATAGGACAAAAATGTATATGCCTACCAAGATGTTTCAATTGCCCTGTCTCGCATCCGGGTGAGACTTGAGAAAGAGAAAGGAAGAGAGAAGGGAGGGGGAGAGATTAAGAGGGAGGGAGAGACAGTACAGAGACAGAAAAATAGAGAGAGAAGGGGGGGGGGAGAGAGAAAGAGAGAAAGAAAGAGAAAGGGGAGAGAGAGAAAGAAAGAGAGAAAGAGAGAGAGAGAGAGATCAATTAAGAGAGAGGGTGTTTGATAAGAATAATAAGAATAATTGATTCCTGTCATATACTCTCCGAGTCGGTTCCGAGGCTGACCTGCTGCAATAGAGCCATATATTGTACACATTTTATGACCAGTCTCATCTTCCGGATCCCACCTTCTGTTTCCAATCGTTCACCTCTTGTTTCCCATGTATTGTATCCAAATTTCACTATCCCATATTCCGACTTTAATCTGTAAAGGCGCTTCGTTTTCCTTCATCTCATGGGATGGAACGCTTGAAGCAGGCCAAAATATTAAATATGTCAGTCGTCACTGACTAAAATCCGGTGGACTGAAACCGGCAAAGGACGCTCATCCTAAACGAAGCTTGAGTGCCATGAATGTAGCCTCAGTACAGTGCCTGAAAACTGCATTCAGGGCAACAGGCACTCTGTGACTTTCAAAGTACAAGGTTTAAGCTTATATAATTTTAGAAGTTACTGTAATTGCTCCAAACATTCGGGAAAATAAACTTGAACTCTATTTCTCCGAACGGTGTCTGTACTCACGACTTTTTGGTTACTAGCAAGATTTAGGCGTCATCTTTCATTCTGCCTTTCTGCAAGGACTGGGAAGAAGAATTTTTTGCATCGAATTCAATTTCTAGAGCTAGAAATTTTTAAATGTCTGAATATTCAGATACTTCAGTTGTGGTTGGGGCAATGTTCCCAGACTATACTTCATTTGAAAAATACTTCAAAAGGTACAGCGAGAAAACATGACTGATCGACCTTGGCAGTAACCTATTTTGCATTTATTATAGTCATCCAGTAAATAAAAAATGTAAAAAAAAAAATCCCACCCCACCCCGTTCATACCTTACACACATACAGACAGACACACACACACACCACGTACACACACGTACTCACACACACACACACAGACCACTCCATTCGCAATTATTATCAACAAATCTCGAGAACGGAAACCGTTTGGAGATATAGAATCTAGATCTAGAGTTCAAGTTTATTTTCCCGAATGTTCAAAGAAATGGAGCCTAGATCGGCGCTTTTTCGGTATTTCCCACCCCGCAATTTTATTCACCGGTTTGGGCCACGCCACAAGGTAGGGGGGTTTCAGGGGGGCTTGCCCCCCTGACCTAATAAAAATAGGAAGGGGGGTTTCAGGGGGGCATGCCCCCCTGAATTTTACCATAATTTAATGTTTTGCAGTTGTTAGGTTTGATATCTTAGCTCACCGCGAATCAAACGTATAGATCTAGATCTAGATGTAGGTCAGGCTCAAATAAGGGGGGTGGGAACTACCGAAAAAGCACCCCTAGATCTATCTACGAACTGTGGGGGAATGGGGATCCGAGATTCAGATTTGGGGGCACAACAAAAAAAGCTGGACAATGAGGAGATCAATAATTATAGGTATTGTGATAAAATATTAGTATAAAATAAGATAACCAATATCACTAAGGACTGAAATTTCTGATGGCAAAGTAGATTCTAATGTGTCGATGCGATGACTCTTTTAATTTTATCTTTTCGTCCCACCTGTTGTTGTTAACTACCATGGTTGATCATGTGTTTTCAACAGCGGTCCAACCAGCAGGAATCAACAGCTTAGCTTCTGCTTCTCAGTCTTGCAGACTTCAGCTCGGACAATATACACATACAAGAACAAAAACCTACCTTATTCAGTATCTTTTGAGCCCTTGTCAAAACAAAGTTTACAGGCCAGACCACCCTCGTGAAAGCTCGTCCGGAAGTTGTTGTGGCTTCCTTGACAACACTCGCTGAGGTCAGGGGTTATCGTCTCGTATTCACCCTTTCTCCGACGTTTACCGATATAAACCGAAAGCACGGAGGGTTAAAACACCCAGCACAAGAGAGATAGTCCTGTTCGATAGTGTGTTTGGGAAGACCACCGCGGCACCGTGTTCGTTAGCTTGCTGGGGTTAGGATTAAAGAAATATTTCAAGTACTTTTCTTTTGTGTATCGTTATCTAGAACATTAAAAACACTTAGAGGAACTTGATTCAAAATCTGAAGAAAACAGGCTTAGAAGATTTTTCGCGATTTAACGTTGTTCAAGCCAAACATTTTTCTTTTCTGCATTGCTGTCATTTGAAAGCAGCCATGCCGTGGGACTATCAAGAAGAAAGTCCCCAGTATAATTACGTGGACAACGTTTTCCCTTACGCTTACCCGAGTTCTGGGAATGTGACGTTCACAGGTAAGTCAGCATACTAATGGTTCGTCTTAGACGCTTTCTTCTGTTCGTTTGGATTTTTAGTATTCATTCTTTATTTCTTTATAATATTATATTATTATATCCGTCTTTTTTTCTATAGATAGTTTACCTTTCAATTCTCCATCTCTCTCTCTCTCTCTCTCTCTCTCTCTCTCTCTCTCTCTCTCTCTCTCTCTCTCTCTCTCTCTCTCTCTCTCTCTCTCTCTCTCTCTCCTGCCACACACACACACGCACCACACACACACACACACACACACACACACACACACACACACACACACACACACACACACACACATACGCACACACGCATACAAGATATCGATGTATGATTTACACGCCTGTCAACATAATTTATATCATGATATTAATATGACTGTTTCGACGGGCTGGTAGAATACAACGTTCGAGCAGACAGAATAGAGATAATCAACAAAATAAATTCCCTAATTAAGTGAGAATCGAACTGAGATCGAGCAATCAAAATCAGTAGAATACCTATTCAAGTTATTAAACCAATGATTTTCTTGTTTTTAATTAAGACTACTGCGATAACTATCATACAGATTACTTGATGACTTAATTTTAGAGTGCTTGTTTTGTTTTGCTTTTCAAGTTGAGGTAATAATTTTTATAGGCCTAAAATGGAGAAGAAAAAAACCCCCAAAAAAACCGAGAAGGTCATCAACTCCAAAACGAGGCTTAAATGAGTAGCACATAATTTATTATCAATGTCTAACACAAAGGTTACATTGGACTCGCGTGTCTTCACATTAACCCCCCCCCCCTCTCTCTCTCTCTCTCTCTCTCTCTCTCTCTCTCTCTCTCTCTCTCTCTCTCTTGCCCTTTTTAACTCCCAGACGAGCACAGGCCATCAACAACATAATATTTTATTTTCTTCTGCTGAAGCCTGTCCTGTGCATCCATTTCTAGCTGTTTCCACGATGTCCCCGCCTTTTCCATTTCCGCATGTACCGCTCGCCTCCATGTCATCTTTGGTCTTCCTTTCGTACGTTTTCCTTTTGGATTCCACGTCAAAGCTTGTCTGATGATGCTTGTCGGGGGTCTCCTCAGGGTGTACCCAATTCATTTATGAAGCTCTGCAGTTTCCTTGCTGCTGATACTGTGAGCCTCCATGTCTCTGAACCGTAGATTAGAACAGTCTTCCCGTTTGTTTTGAAGATCGCCAGCTTGGTGTTCAATCCCAGTTCCTTAGACATCCATAATATATTCCTGAGGATGAAAAGTAATAATGAGTGCTGCTCTTGCCTTTTGGATTCTGACTTTGACTTTGATGTCTCCGTCTGTTCCTCCTGCCTTGTTGATCACACTTCCCGGGTAGGTGAAGGGTTCAACATCTGCCAATGGTGTCCTTTGCAGTGTGATAGGAACATCGGCTGCATTCATTCGAAGAATATTTTTTTATCCGTCTGAATAATTTATAGAGTCCAACACTACGGTAGAAAATCCTGAGGCGATCTGTCTTCTGTTGCATCTGGGCTCGACTGTGAGAAAGAAGTGTTAAGTCGTCGGCAAAGTCCAAGTCTTCCAACTGACTGGAAAGGGTCCATTGAATGCCACCGCGTTGTACTGATGTTGTCTGTCTCATTATCCAATCCACTGTTAATAAAAAAGAGAAAAGGCGGTAGCAGGCATCCCTGTCTCACTTCTGTTTTCACTTCAAACGAGTCTGTCCTCTGCCCTCCAAGTAAGACACTGCTGCTCATTCCCTCATACATCTTTCTTGATCAATCTCACGAACTTGTCTGGTAGTCCGTAGTAGCGCATGAGCTTCCATATTGAGTCCCTATCTAGGCTGTCAAATGTCTTCACATTAACTCCCATCCCCCTCCCCCACCCACCCTCACCCCCACACCACCCGCAAACACTCTCACCTCCACCTGCCCTGTTTCATTTTAAGGAAATGCACAGAATTTAATTTTGTTAATCGAAATCTCAAATGCAGGTTTTAGTTCGTTTGTTTTGCTTTTCTAAATTTAAGGATATAATTTAGAGTGTCTAATTTGTTTGGCATTCATGATCTGGCTTCCTACAGACAGACACCCAATTAGCTTCGCTGAAAAATAAAAGATTGATTGGTCAAAACAACACTTTCTGAAACCATCGAGACTTATTTCATATTATAGTTGTGCATTATGGCAGACAGTGTCTAACTATAATATTATTATATATCAGGCATTTTATTCTTTAATTTTTTTCTCCCATTCTGCCCCCCCC